GGGTGCATACGTTGTATTTATGATGCTTAGTGTACTTGTGCTTGAGTACAAGCGATACGAAGGCCCCGAAAACGTTACGTTGACGAAGAAGACTATCGAGGACGCGGACAACTACGTGACGTTAGAAACGCCTAAGACTGAAGTAAACCAGATGATCTTTCCGAACAGGTCAACTGTGCTTGATGTCAGCGAAAAGGAGAAGAATTTCGTCCCGGTAACGCTTGCTTTCCAGGATTTACGGTATTCAGTGAAATCGCCGTCCAACCCCAATGAGTCGCTAGACTTGCTGAAAGGCATCAGTGGGTTTGCTTTGCCAGGCACCATCACTGCACTTATGGGCTCTTCTGGTGCTGGAAAAACGACACTGATGGACGTGATTGCCGGTCGGAAGACGGAAGGGACCATCAACGGCAAGATCCTGCTTAACGGCTACGAAGCTACAGACCTGGCTATTCGACGATCAACGGGTTACTGCGAGCAAATGGACATTCATTCCGAAGCCGCTACGTTCCGAGAAGCTCTCACATTCAGCTCATTCCTTCGTCAAGACAGCAGCGTTCCTGACAGCAAGAAATACGACTCGGTGAACGAGTGTCTGGACCTCTTGGATATGCACAACATCGCCGACCAAATAATTCGAGGCAGCTCTGTGGAGCAAATGAAGCGCTTGACGATCGGAGTTGAGCTGGCTGCACAACCGAGTGTGATTTTCCTGGACGAGCCGACGAGTGGCTTGGATGCTCGCTCAGCCAAAATGATCATGGATGGCGTTCGTAAGGTGGCTGACAGCGGCCGTACTATCGTGTGTACGATCCACCAGCCGTCTACCGAAGTGTTTCTCTTGTTTGACAGTTTGTTGCTGCTTAAACGCGGTGGCGAGACGGTTTTCTTCGGTGATCTTGGTGAGAATTGCCAGCATTTGATCGACTACTTTGGAGGTATTCCTGGACCCCCGGAACTGCTGGAGGGCTACAATCCCGCTACTTGGATGCTTGAGTGTATCGGAGCTGGTGTTGGCAAGGCCTCCAGCAACGACATCGACTTCGTTCACTATTTCAATGAGAGCGAAGAGAAGCGGGTTTTGGATTTGAATATGAACAAGGAAGGAGTGACTTTCCCGTCACCCCATACCAAGGAGATGACTTTCGACCGCAAACGCGCTTCATCATCCTGGACCCAAGCTCGCTTTCTCGTACTGCGCTTCATGCGCATGTACTGGCGCACTCCTTCGTACAATATCACGCGGTGCATCATCGCTTTACTCTTGAGTCTTTTGGCCGGACTGGTTTTTGTCGATTCCGAGTACACAAGCTACCAAGGACTTAACAGCGGTGTGGGAATGTTGTTCTTAATGTCTCTGTTCAACGGCCTTGTGTCATTCAGCAGCGTGCTCCCCATTGCCAGTGAAGATCGCGCATCATTCTATCGTGAACGCGCCTCTCAGAGTTACAACGCGCTCTGGTACTTCGTGGGCTCTACAATTGTCGAGATTCGGTACAGTTTCGTCGCCGGTCTGCTCTTCACCGTTGTGTTCTTCCCGATGGTGGGCTTTACGGGCTTTGGTACGGCTGTTCTCTTCTGGATCAATATGTCACTCTTCATGCTCATGCAGACGTACATGGGGCAGTTCTTCTCCTATGCCATGCCAAACATCGAAGTCGCTGACGTGCTCGGGATGCTCGTCAACTCCATCTACATCTTGTTCATGGGATTTAATCCACCGGCGAACGAGATTCCGAGCGGCTACAAGTGGTTGTACGACATTACCCCTCACAAATACTCAATCGGCAATTTAGCTGCTCTGGTGTTTGCCGATTGCGACGACGTCCCGATGTGGAACAACGAGACGCAGCAGTACGTTGGTGGTGGTTCTCAGCTGGGTTGTCAGCCGATATCGAACACCCCACTGAGCATCGACCACACCACTGTGAAGGAGTACGTCGAGACCGTGTTCAACACCAAGCATGACGATATTTGGCGCAACTTTGGTCTTGTCTTCGTCTTCATCGTCGTCTACCG